AGGCCTTGATATCCTTCCTAAAGTGCGGTGCCCAGAATTGGACGCAATACTCCAGCTGAGGCCTAACCAGTGTCTTGTAAAGGTTCAGCAGAACTTCCTATTTGTACCACAATACAATACAAAATTACATTTGCATGGCGCCTTTCACATCGGGAGGACATCCCAAGGCGCTGAATGAATGAAAGAAGGGGAGAGATGAAAGGGAGAGAAGGGGCCCCAGCGGCAGCTTACTGTGTATCTCTGGGGGTAGTGTGGACATGGTCGAGTGGTGGAACGCAGCTGGGTAGTCCGAGAGCTGGGGCAGGAAACTGGAGTCCACGGGGGGGACCCGGAGCGAGGAGGGCTGGTACGTGAGGACCCTGCAGAGCACAGTAAACACACATAGCATCACAGGGCAGATGGACAACAACAGACCCAGGTCCATCTAGTCCACCTTCTACTATCCTGGCCGTCGCTTGCTAAAGTAATGGAGATGTCGATAGCGATTAATTCTGTATGGACTGTGTAGTCTACAACACAGCGGGAAGCTTTGGGAACCTTAGATCCAAAGTTGCCTGGTTCTTCCGAGCCATTCTACACTTACTATATGTCATGTCTCAAATTACTCGTATACTGTATCCCCAAACATTATTTTCTAATATAAGTCACATCACTCCACACATCAGCTGCCTCCATAACCTGGGCTCTCCATGTTCTCCCCACCCTCTGTTAACACGCCTCTGTTTACCTTAGCAGTAAGTAGGAACATGGTTGTTAGTCGATTGGCGGATCGCTTTTCCGGGGGTAAAAATCCCTTCAAAAAAAATAATAATTTGGTCACTCAATCCACCATTGTTTGTGGGACGCTGCTGTGTGTAATTGGCTGCTGCGTTTCACTCACAAAATATACAGTTAATTCACTTTACAATGTATTCTGTGAGGCGCTTTGAGACGCCTCGAGATATAAGGTGCTCTATCAAATGCAAGGATTATTATTATTATTATTATATTACCCTCCTCCCAACAAGGAAGTGTCAGCCTGGGCTGTGAGACCCAACACAGGTCGTGTGAATGGATCTACAACCTTCTGACCCAGAGACAAGTGGTTGCCCACCGTCTATCCGGACGAATCCAGCCCTATAGATCCGAACACCTGGTGGGACTCACGCTTCCTGAACCCCTCAAAATTGACTTCGATACCAAAAATAATTATAAATTCAATCTAAGTAAATTCAATTAAATCATGGCTGATCTGAACCTCAACTGCACTTACCCACCTTTGCCCCATATCCCTGGATACCCTGACCTAACAGATATCTGTTCACCGTAGTCTTGAAAATTCCAATTTATCGAACATCCACAGCCTTTTGGGAGAGGGAGACAGGGGGCCAGATATCCACTACTTGAAAAAGTGCTTCTGTGGTTCCACGCCAAATTGCCCCTTGTTCTGGATTCCCCACCAGAGGAAATAGTTTCTCTGCAGCTACCCTATGGAATCCCTTTATGATTTTAAACACCTCAATCAGATCAGCCCTCAACCTTCCGAACTCCAGGGAATACAGACCAAGTTTATGTAACCTGTCCTCACAATTTGACCCTTTCATCCCTAGGGTCTTTCTGGTGAACCCCCCCCCCAGAGAGGATATATCTTTCCTGAGGTGCGGGTGCCTAAAACTGAACGCGGTCTGCAGATAGGATACGGCCAAGGCTCTGTACAACTGATGCATCGCTTCCGCTTTTGCATTCCAGGCCCTTGAGATCGTCCCATTAGCCTCTGTGATCATTGAATCCCAAGACAGACAGAACCCAGACAGATGACTCAATTGAACAGGAGGTAACCAAAAGCCTTGTGTATAATACCGAGTGTTATTTGGGCAAAACCAACTCACGTGTGTGTTAGAAGACAAGAGGGAAAGACGCGCCTTGACTAACCCTTTGCCAGCGTTTTCCTCAATGTCAGACGGGTACAGGCACCTTTTCTTCGGGAGGGGCTCCTCCTCTTCCTCAGATGACGAGCTGTCCAGCGTGAGGTCGATGACCTCCACCTTTTTGCTGCTGCTGGACTCGCTGGCTGGCGTTGCTGCCCCGCTCTTGCTCACACTCGCTGGGGTTAGACACAGCTCACGTTTAACACCCGCTTTACACGTCAGTCAGTCACGCGTCGCTATGGTATGCACAACACCAACAACAAAATTCTATCATACAGCAGCTTTCACGTCGAGAGGACGTCCCAAGGTGCTGGGATGTGTATAATACCAGGGAATACTAACCTGGTTTATATAGGCAAACAAGGTGAGTATTTTGCACTCAACAACTTATAAAGTGCCCTTCACACGAGGCACTGTCTCGGAGAGCTTAACAGTGGCAGAGCCTGACTACGAGCCAAGCTGGGGGAAGGGAAGAGGTGACCCTAAGCCCGGTCGAAGAGGAAGGTCTTCCATATAAATGCAAGTTGTAAATTTATCTAAAACCTTGGATAAATCATATAGATTTACATAAAATGTACAACACTGAAACAGGCCGTTCAGCCAGACTAGCTCGTTCCAGTGTTTATACTTCACGAGTATCCACTCACTCCTTACTCCATTCCATATTCTTCTGTTCCCTTCTCTCTCATGTGTATATCTAGCTTCCTCTTAATCTGATCACATTTGAAGTACTGCCGTACTACTGTAACATTGGAGAGAGAGAGAGAGTGCAGCATAAATTTACTAGGACATTAACAGTGAGAGAGAACACAGCTATCAAGTAGCTCAGAGAGGAGAGGGAGAACGACTTGGGTGAGGGGCCGAGATTGGGATGCATGTGGAAATCACTGTCACAAATCGTAGTTGAGGCAATCATGGCATATTACGGCAAAGAAGGAGGCCATTCGGCCCATCGTGCCTCTGCCGGATCTTTCGAAGAGCTAACCAATCAGTCCCACTCCCCTGCTCTTTCCCCATACCCCTGCAAATTTTTCCTTTTCAAGTACCTATCTAATTTTCCTTTGAAAGTTGTCATGGAATCTGTTTCCACCACCCTTTCAGGTAGTGCATTCCAGACTGTCACAATGCTGTGTGAAAATAAAATTCTCCTCCTCTCTAGTTTCTTGCCAATCATCTTAAATTTGTATCCTCTGGTTACTGACCCACCCGCCAGTGGAAACGTTTCTCCCTGTCTACTCTATTAAAACTCATAATTTTGAACACCTCGATTGGATCTCTCCTTAACCTATTTCAAAAGGATAAATCTTCAGATATGTACTCAAAGAGAAGGGGTTTTAAAGGGGATGGGGATGAGAAGGGGAACTGGAGAAGAGGGAGCAGGAGACTGGCTTGTGCAGAGTAACATGCCAGCGCAGAGCTGAGGACTGAACACAACTCGAGCTGTAGGAACCCTTTACTGCTCCTTGATCCACTGCCTGCAGTAGTGATGTGAACAACATAGATGTTGGCAGGACCTACGTACTTGTGCTTTCCACCTTGGGACACTGAGAGGATAGTTTCAGCGACTCCTTCTTGGGTCTCATCGGACACCAGGCTCCATTCTCCAGGAATTTGATCTCATCCACGTCCGTGCAGGAATTCAGGATCTCCATGAATAGACTGGGAGAGGAAAACACAGACAAAAACCACTTGCTACTCCAAAGCAAGAACAAATTTACATTTGTTTAGAACTTATCTTGTTCAAACAAGATCAGAAGAGGCTTGTTTGATCTTACCCATGCAGGATCCGCACTTTATTGTCTTTCCATTACAGCATCGTGTTTGCCAGCCCATGAGATCAATGGCAAGCTATACAGTTTTAATGCACACTCTGGGGTCCCCAGGCCTTAATAATAATCCTTGCATTTGATATATAGCTCCTTAGCATGTCTTATAGACGTCTCAAAGCGCTTCACAAAATATACTGTAAAGTGATTTGACTACACCTCATACTTTCTCGAATTAGGTAAGCAGGATATGTCCCTCCAGGGTGAGTGCAATGCCCTGGACTACAATCCCCTAGATAATATTGCTCATTCATCTCCTGTTTGTGGGACTTTGCTGTGCACAAATTGGCTGCTGCTTCAACTTCCACAACACAACACAGTAATTGTTGTGAAGCACTTTGAGACCTCGACATTACAGCTATCAAACACAGGAATTATTATGTTTATAGGGCGAGCTGCCAATCAGAATTCAGAGGGAGAAAAATAAACACACGGGGGAATCTCTCATGAACTTTAATGTGCACAGACAAACAAAGGAAATGCGGCAGCCAATTGCACACAGCAGTGTCCGACAAAGTTTTTTTTAAATAAGGGATTTAGACCCCCCGAAAAGAGATCTACCAATCGACTAACAACCGGGTCCTTACTTACTGCTTGGTTAAACAGAAGCACGTGGAGTAAGGAAACTTGCCTAAGGGTTCGACCGCCCGGGAATTGAACTCAGGTCCTCTCGCTCACGAGGCGAGTATGCTAACCACTATTTTACAGGGTCTTGGCAATGAGGGTGATAAGATGTGGAAGAGGATGGTTGAGAGAGGGACCTTTTTAAATGAACAGCTCAATGCTGTATTGACCGGTGTTTTCTGGAAGGATGAAATCACACAGGCCAAAAGGGCTTCCACACCCAAACCTCTCATACTAATGCTCACATAATGTGCTCACAATAATCCTTGCATTTGATATAGCTAGCGCCTTATCATGTCGGAGAGATGTCTCAAAGCCCTTCACGGGATGTATTGTAAAGTGAATTGACTGTATATTTTGTGGGCGAAACTCAGCAGCCAATTGCACACAGCAGTGCCCGACAAACAGTCGTGGATTGAGTGACCAAAACGTATTTATTTAATTTTGGGGGGAAAGTGATCCGCCAACGTACTAACAAGCGGGTTCCGACTTACTGCCGGTAAACAGGGGTGTGTGGTGTAAGGAAACTTGCCTATGGTTTTGCCCTGCCCAGGAATCAAACCTGGGTCCTCTGGCTTGCGGGGCGAGTGCTCGAATCACTGAGTTACAGGACTCCCTACAAAGGTTTCACTGTTGCGCCGACTCACCCGTCTATTATTAAACTTTCGTACGTGGCCTTCTTGTCACACACCGGGCAGATCCACGTGGGCTTCTTTTCATTCATCTGCAGGTAGAGAGCGGCATCGAAGCACTGCAGGTGCGTGCAGGTCACAGCTCGACACGGCACTGTCAGCCGCATCTTCCCCAGCTTCACCAGGGATAGAGGAGATAGTCAACAGAACAAAACTTTCCAACATCTTTTTACAGTAACGTAGCAAAGGTTTCAGGCAGGACCTGACCCTTAATCCATCTCGCAACTTCCCACAGGATTCTTTCAACATGTCTGGCTCATCAACAACAAATGATATTTACACAGTGCCTTTCATGTCAGAAGGATTTCCCAAGGCGTTGGACAGTCAGGATTTGGGATCCAGAGGTTGGGATCATGAGGGGTGGAGAGCATGAAAGGTGGGGTAGGAGGTTGACTGAAGGCGTGGTTAAAGGGGAGAGTCTTAGAATGTGCCATGAAGGAGGCAAAAAAAAACTTGCAATGATCCGGAGTCTGGTCCGGGTCAGTGTGCGGGCGGCAGAATGAGCTGGATCTTGTGAATGATGGAGCTGGGAGACAGGCGAGGAGTGCGTTGGAGTAATCCAAGTGGAAGGTGACAAACGCATGCACAAGGGTTTTGGCTGTATTTGGGGTAAGATACAGTTGGAGATGGGCAATGTGGCGGAGGTGGAAGAAGGCGGTCCTGGTCAGGAACCGGATGTGGGGGAGAAAGAACAGCTGGGGGTCAAACCGGATGCCTAGGTTGCGCACTGGTTTGGTGAGTCTGAGATCCGCAGGAGTGAAGACATTGACAGGAGCCAAGGAGTATGGCTTCTGTCTTGTCCACATTCAGCTGCAGGAAGTTTGCACCATCCAGGCCTTGATGTCTGCCAGACAAGCCGACAGAAAATCGGGGACCTGGAGTTGGTACTGGAGGAGGCAAAGTCGATTTGTGTATCATCGGCAAACATGTGAAAATTTACCCCGTGTCTGCGGATGACATTGTCCAGAGGGAGCATATAGACAAGGAAAAAACCCCACCCTGCCGCCTAGGCTCAGCCCCACTGGCTGCGAGATATATTTTTAATGGTTCATGTTAGGGCATCAGAAGCTCCGAGACTAGCAGCTTGTTGCCAGGACTCAGTGAGCGACCAGTGAGGAATGGACACTGAAACTTACAGGGCACATGAGGGACACCCGCAGGCTGGTGGTAGCAATCTCACTGTCGGGATCAGCCGTCAGCTTCTCTTTAACTGAAAGAACAGAACGCAAACGGAGGACCGTGAGCACAGAAATAAATTACATTTATATATAGTACTTTTACAACCGGAATCCTTCCTTTTTAAGCACATCGATGTGTGTCAAAGCGCTTCACAAGAAAACTCAGTCTTTTTTTTAAACAAAAATAGCTATGAGGTAATAAGCTTTGCATGTGATATAGTGCCTTATCACGTCTCAAAGGTGAATGACCTATTAATCCCAGACTGTTTCCCAGGGCACCTGGAGAAACTCCTTTCCCTTTTCCAACAGTATCATGGAATCTTTAACCCCCAGTTTAATGTCATGTGAAAGACAATACAGTGCTCCCCAATATTGCCTGCACTACACACCCTAGCGCAGCGCTCAAACCCATTAGAAAGTGCAGGAATATCTTTGCCCACTATCTTTGGCTGACACAATGGCCAAGTGCCGGTGGGAAGGGGGGCCCCAAGTTCCGGTGGTATTAAGCGCTGGCTTCTCTCTCTCTCTCTCTCTCTCTCTCAGGGCCACACTCACTCAGGGCTCTGGAGTGGTCGGGGTTCCTGATCCCCTTGTTCCGCAGCCTCTGGAGTAGCACGGCCGACGTCAGCTGCTTCACCAGGTACACGGAGACCGAGTAATTCTAAGGGAGGGGAGAGACCACAAACAAGGACCTTAAAATCGGCTTCTTTTTTAAGAAAAAGTCACCGACAATTCCCCCCTTTCCTGAGGAAAATCTATGTCAATGGATCGAAAAATGATTTTACTCTGAATTTGAAATTAAAAAGCTGAATTAACTGTTTGTTAGCAGATCAGGTGTTGTTCATCGTTTATTTGAGACTGCCTGTACCACGCATTGTGAACCTTGTTGTGTTCGTGTGCTAAGCTTATCAGTTATGGTTCTATTGGGAGCACAAAGGTAAGTGCTATGTATACTTTATGGCATAGAGATGGGCAGAAAAAGTCATAGAAAGACATACAATTAGGGACTGAGAGAGGACTGAAAGAGAAAGAAATTGTTAAGAGAGAGAGAGAGAGTCAGAGAGACAGCTAAAGAAAAAGTCAGATGTAGGAGAGTGAAGGAGAATTACAAAGAGGAAGAACAATTTGATAACATTAAATGCTGACATTTCACACAACGACCACAAGGTGACATCTGCCTAGTGCCAAAAATAAGCTTTTAAATACTAATTCTGCATCATTTGTAAATGTTTCTTCACACAGTAAGAGGAGCCAGCCCCAGGGGGCTACAGTCTTTCCCAGAGGGGAAGAAGAATGAGGTTGTAGCACTTACTCTGCCCATTTCCGGGGCCCAGGACACAGAGATCTGGTTGGGGACAGCTGAGGAAAGACGGACCTGAGATGTGATGTTCAGCGGCCGCCCGGGTCGCTTCTGTTCAACACCGTTCTTAAGTGGTGGCGTGAAGCCCTGGACAAGGAGATCAGCAAAGTCAGCCGTTGGTCAGCCGGGAGCCTGACACACGTGGAAACCCATCACCATGCTCAAGAGGATCCAAACCAAACAGAGTTCCACATATGTCTGCCAACTACACATGGATATTCCCCTGTATCTGGAATGGAATGCACACTCTCTCCCTGGAGGGACCCATCCCGTTTACAATTCCGGAGAATGTTAGGCACAGGTTGGTAAGAGCCAAGGCTTAGGAAGCCCAGAGTGTGCGTTGGGGTTAACTGCTGAGGTCTAACCAGCTAAAACCACACAGCCTGCCATTGATCTCTCTGTCTGGCAAGCTTTCCTGCTGTTTGTCCAGATGGAACCACCCTATCCGGTAGTGCTTTGGTTTACAGCCTGTTGCATACCAACCTGTCCGCTCCCTTCACTCAGTAGATTCTGGCCTGCTCCACGTCTCCCGTCCAGCCCGCCCCATCATCGGCGGTCGGGCCTTCAGTCTTTCTGCCCCCACCCTATGGAATTTCATCCCGCATTCCCTTCGCCTCCTCCCTCGCTTGCCTCCTTCAAAACTCTCCTCTTCAACTGAGCCATCGGCCACCCTCCTACTCTCCAATCCTGACCCCCAGCTCAGGCCCAAATCCCTGACTGTCCAGCTCCTCAGGACGTCCTCCCAACTTGAAAGGCGTTAACAGGAGCAGAGTGATTCGGCCTACCTCCAACTCATTCAATGTGATAAATATCACTCCACGATCGATTCCTCCAGCGATCACACTGGCCTCACATCTCCTCCCTTACTCCCACCTCATATTTAATAGGAACAAGTAACTTACTGGCAATGGATAAAGTTTCCCGTTCACTTTTATACACAAGTTGTTGGGGTAGTTATCTTCCTGTGGACAACTGGTCTCCGCCAGACAGAACCTGAAACCAAAAGTTTCCATCTTCATTAGATAAAGTCTCGTTCCTCTCCAAATCACATAATAAATAACAAAAAACAAGAATAAATCAAATCACAATTGGCTGCCAAAACATAGTCACCACACTTTACAGTATATTATGTGAAGCCCTTTGAGACGTCTTGAAGACGTGATAAGGCGCTATATCAAATGCAAGGAATATTATTATTAATAATAAAAGTTCTTCAAATATCTCCATGGCCTTGACCTACAGTTCTTCCGTGATCTCCTTCACACTGGCTGACTTCATGACCCCCTACTGCCCCACCATCAGCGAATGAGCTTTCAGCCACTTTGCACCCAGCTCCTGAACTCATTTCTGACACCCTTTGCTCCCTACCCAAGTACCTTTGACTGAGTTTTCAGCTACCTCTTCCCTATCCCCACAGCCTTATCTCTCTCCCAGCCAGGAATTCTGTCTATGTAAAACACTTTGAGACTATGGAAAAGGTGCTATGTAAGTTCGTAATGTTGTTGAACAAATTACTTCTGCAGGAACATGTAAGTAGGAGATTATAAAGGCTAATTTAGCCATAAACACTTCAGTTTAGACAGTACAGCAGCTTTCACATTAAGGAAACATCTCGAAGAGTTTAACAACTTACATACAAGCGCCCTTCACATAAAAGCAAAGCATTAAAACATTTCATAACATGAGATTCACCTGACAACGTAATATGGATGGAATGAAGACATCTCAGGATGTAATGAAACACTTTATTTTGTGTCTTAACACATTGCAATACCTCACAGGTAAGTATTGTCAAATGTAGTGACTTATTGCGAGTTATAATATCATTATTATTATAGCGCATTGCTGGGATCTGGAATGCATTGCCTGGAAGGGTGGTGGAAGCTGATTCGATAACAACTTTTAAGAGAGAAGTAAATAATTATTTGGTGAGGACAAGCTTGCAGGGCTATGGGGAGACAGCGGGGGAGTGGGATTGATTTGGAAGCTCTTTTCAAAGAGCCGGCACAGACACAATGGGCTGAATGGCCTCCTTCTGTGCTGTATAATTCTATGATTGCAGCCAAACTTAATAATACTTGCACTTGATGTAGCAAGTGCCTTATCATGTCTTCAGGACATCTCAAAGCGCTTCAGAAAATATACTGTAAAGTGAATTGACTATATAACTTGACAGCCATTTGCACCATCAGAGACCTACATACACCCATGAATTTTATCTGGAGGATTGTTGGCCAGGACACCCCAGCAAAACTCACTTCCAAACGTGAGTGTTGTGGGATCTTTACTGTCCACCTAAAGGACAGGCAGTCAGGTTTACCATCTCATCCCAGGGACAGGCTCTCCTCTCCCCCACTATGCTGGAGTCTCAGTCCCGCAGTAAGTGTGCTATATAACGGGCTCCAGGTGGGCACAAGAATAGACTAAAGGGTCTCTGCTCACCTTAGCTGCACCTGCACAATGTAGTCTCGTCTGCCACCCGGCAGGAAGTCCCTGGAAAAGAACGGAGTGTATCAAATTACTCAAACCACATAGGCAGTAATCACTTGAACAGCTGTCAGCCTTTCTGTCCCACCTTCTGGAACTCCATCCCAGAGTCCCTCTATCTTGCCAATCCCTTGCCTCCTTCAAGATCTGTCACAAGACCTTCCTCTTTGACCGCACCTTCGGCCATCCTCCCACCCGTCTTGACTCCAATTCCCAGATCGGGTGCAAACCCTTGACTGTCCTACAGACATGAAAGGCAATTTTCTGTTGTTGTCACGTCATCTGAAGGATGGAGCCTCCAGTAATGCAGAGGTGGTCCTCCCACTACTACAATGGAGCATCATTCTGGAGTGGGAGAAGATGGAAGGATTGAGCCCACAATCATCTGGACCAGAGGCGAGAGTCCTACTATCTGAACCTGGCTGACTCTCAAGTGCATCCACGTACACACGGCTCAAGCTATCAGACATAAGAGGGTCCCACTGCGCTTACTGAAGGATCTCTCTTCTCCCCCCCACCCCCCGCAGGGTGACCAGACTGGTACAATGCATTGTTTGCAGCAATTTATATCCCCCAGGCCCACTAGTCAGGGCTCAGGGGCCCATGAGCTGCACGTTCTCTCTCAGCAGCCACAGCAGAGTGTACGACAGAGACACACACACCCACACCGGGAACTGCAGGCGTTCAACACCACCAGAGATGGGAGAAACGAGTGACCAATTTTATTTGGGGGACTGTTAGCCAGGACAACAGGTTAAACTCCCTTCTCTTTTGAAAAGTATCACAGGATCTTTAAAAACCACCTGAACAGGCAAACTGGACCTCAGTTTAACATCTCAACTGAAGGACAGCACTTCCAACAATGCAGCACTTGCTTTGGTTTTTTGGTCCAGTGGATGTTAAAGTTCCTGCGACACCTTCAGATAGAGAAGAGAGTACCGTAGCTGGCAATCCCACCTGCACAACGTGTGAGGAACTCTGGTTTGGATACCGTAGTAATGGGCTTCCTCATGTGATGGAAAAAATAACTGCTTTCCCTCTATGTCATACTATTCTTTGCCAGATAGCTGTTCAGTTCTCTTTGTGTTAGTCTGGCTCAGTTGGTATCTTACTTGCCTTTTGAGTCAGAAGGCACCTGGTTCAAGGCCTACGTCGGGGCTTTGAACTCAAGCCAGAGAAAGACAGAAGACCTTCTCTCCGATTTACATTCCAATAGTGAGAGTCTCTTACCTGGAAATGCAGATCGCTTTGACTTGTTGGGGAGTCAACGCAAAGATGAAATACTTTTCCTGGAACCGCTGAATGTTTGATGGCACTGAACAAAAAGATTGCACAGCATCTGTCAACAGGGAACTGGATGAATACTTGAGGAAAAAAGAATATTAAAGGCTGTGGGGAAAAGAGCAGGGAATTGAGATTGGAGTATAGTTCCTAGCGAAGGGGCTGGAGGAGAGCACCAGCACAGACTTGACGTAGAGAGAGCAGGGGATAGGATTAGAGTAGAGAGCTCCAGTGTCTGATAACCAATTACTTCCAACCCCCTCCGCAACACACCAGTCAACAACAACAATTTGTATTTATATAGCGCCCTCACACAGGGTAGAGTCCTGGAGCGCCTGGTCACCATCTTGGGAAGAGGAAGATGCCAGAGCAAAATAAAGGTTAAATCATTTCAATAAACCCTGAGCTCACTCTTTTGACAGGACAGTAAAGAGGTGATCTTCCCACAGAGGGTAGCCGACATCAGAATTCTCAGCCACAAGCTGCAAGTGAGACAGAGTTTGTAAATTGTTTTAAAGGGAATTAGACAGAGTTAATAAAAAGGAATCAAATGCGTATGGGGTAATAGAGAGGGATTTAACTAGATGGTTAGATATAGCGGAAAACCTTGCATCTGTGCTCTAACTAGGATTTAATAATAATCCCTTCAAAAAAAAATGTTTTTTTTTAATAATTATTTGGTCACTCAATCCACGACTGTTTGTGGGACACTGTTTTGCACAATTGGCTGCTGTGTTTCGCTTTGGGATGTCTCAAAGACACGATAAGTCGCTATATTAAATGCAAGGATTATTATTATATTATTATTTTACATCTAAAATGCCGGGGGTTCTGTTTCTCATCCAAGTGAACAAAAACAACCATTTTACTCGCAGACCAATGAACTGGAGTCACTCAGAGCCTCCCTGTCTCCAGTGATTCATTTCATTATTTTTCAAAAAATTAATTCATCTTCAGAAATCTCTAGCCTCTCTGAAGAGGCATCCGCTCATATGCAGAACACCATTTTACTCAGCCGGTCTCCAGATGTCAGAAAAAGTGTGTCACTCTGAACTGGAGTGTATCAAAAGGATCAAATAATCATAGAATCTTACAGCACAGAAGGAAGCCATTCGGCCCATCGTGCCTGTGTCGGCTCTTTGATAGAGTTACAAACTAGCCCCACTCCCCCACTCTTATCCCATAGCCCCGCACATTTTTCCTTTTTAAATACCTATTCAATTCCCTTTTGTAAGCTACAATCAAATCTGCTTCCAGGATGACTTAATAACCCAGAGGTTGAAGTGGCACAGCCCCAAAGAGCTGAACGGCCTCCTTCTATACAGAAAGTGTCCATAGTTAACTTTAATGGCTAACTGATTAAAGCACATAACTTTTCAAATACACAGGAATGTAATGTCCCCGAAAAGACTCCTGCTGCAATGCATCAAGTCTTATCTAAAGTAACAGAAATTAATGATTCTACACCACAAACCCTCCGCAGTCTTGTTCCTCCCTTCGGTTATACTCCCAACTCCACCCTGTTGCCTCCAACCCCCAGCTCGGGGGCAAACCCTTGATTGTCCACCAGCTTGGGATGTTAAAGGCACGTGTATAAATGCAATTAGTTGTTGTTGTACTCGCGCACCCTTCCTCTATTGATTTCCTTGCCCCCATTATAACCGTGATACAGGTTGCCCACATTATAACAGTGATTTGGGTGCATATATTCAAACCCCACCTTAGAACTGGTTACGATATAAAATGTCCACTGATCACTGCTTCCAGGTCATTGGAATGTCACTTCTTGCACATCCCAGGAAGCTGCCAACTGCTATCACCACGTTCAGCGGTTGTTGTTAAGTCGCTCAATGCCTGCAGCGCACTCTCTCCCTGGAGGGACACTTCCTGCTTACCTAATTCCGGAGTATTAGGTGCAGGTTGGCAAGAGCCAAGGCTTGGGGACCCCAGAGTGTGCGTTGGGGAAACTGCTGGAGTCTAACCAGCTAAACCATACAGCTTGCCATTGAGAGTACTGCCTGGCAAGCTTTCCCACTGTGTGTCCAACTAGGCCCACCCTATCCTTTAGGGCTTTGGTTTGCAGGGTTAACGGGAGCCGAGTGGGAGGATTCCCTGCCCCCAGTGACTGCTCCACCAGCATGCTGCGGGTCAATGGGACACTGTAATATTAAGCGGATCCTCTAAACTGGTTACTTGCCTGTCTGTCTGTCTGTCTGCTCCCTCTTGCATTTGCTGGCACAAGCTGCCGTTACCACCTCGTTCAATGCCACACTGCTCTCTGTGTGAAATAATTCAATCTGAACAGTCTGTTCTGCTATCTCTGCTAGATTTTTTTGACCATGTTAAACGTATTAAGAATTACCCACATCCCTTAATATTACCACCATTGTGGAAGCATCACTATTGTAGTACCATCATTCTTTAATCTGCCCAAACAACAAAGCTTACCGAGACTAGTAGGTTTAATGAGCACATCCAGGACGTCATAGAAAGGGATGCTCTTCAACTGGACGTCCGGATGGACAGGGTGTATGGAGGTGGACGCCTCCTGCATTTCCACACTGGGTTTGGTGTCGTGCAGCACGAGGGGGCTGACCAGGGGCGAGGAGGGCTGGGAGGCGGCCGAGGTAGAGGCCGAGGAGAGGGCAGTGCCAGAGCCCGACTCCGAGTCTGCTGGTGGGGTAGTGTCCAGGGGGAAGGCTGGAGACTTGAGGGCCGATAAATCGGCGAGGCTTTCAATAGTCCTGGGGAATCGCCGCCTGTACAGTTCCTTGATCTTGATCTGAACGGCCGGGCTGCACCCACTCTTTAGCAAGTGCAGAGCTCGCACCAGGAGTTCATGTTTGCGCCCGCTCTTGTTACGTCCAGCAAATCCCAACAGCACCTGAAGTTCCGAGACCCGAAAACTCGAAACCATATTCTGGAGGAGAGACACAGAGAGAGTTCAGATCTGAACAGTCGGCACCTTTCAGTGCTTTCTAGACAACAACTTGCATTTATGTGGGGCCCTTCTCACGGGGAAATGTCTCGGAGCACTTACGCACACTTATCCGCATCAACTTATTATATAATACTATATAATATAATACTCTTTATGTAGGATAATATCTCAGAGGACATCACAATGAATGTAGTCGGATATCGAGCAAGGGAGTGTGGAGGGGAGGGGAAGGTGACATTAAAAATGGTCGAAGATGTAGGTTGTAAGAGAAAAGGCACAGGTAGAAGGAAGAAGTTCCAAAGGTCACGTGGTCAGAGATGCTTGGCCATTGATAGTGGTGTGGAGGGCATGAATTAGCCAGACCAGAGGGTGTGAGCAGAGGAGTGGGATCAGGCAGGAAGAAATTGGACAGAAGGAGAGGGAGTGGTAGGGTGTAGAGAGAACTCTGCTGGGAGAGAGAAGCCAGCGGAGCCCGGCGGGGACTGGAGTAATGAGCGGGTAGAGTTTGGTGCGGGTAAGGATACAGAAACTGGAATTTCCTCGGTGAGCAAAGATACCTGAGAGGAATACATTTGACAGTTCCGGGAGGTATCAAAGGTGCATTTTAAATAAAAGCTATACAAATATAATCTTGGCTGTTGTTAAAGCACCTTACAGCATTTCTGCTACGTTGTGTATCTGTAGGTGATTAGCCATTTTTTGCAAAGTAGTGTATCTCAAATAGCTATGAAATGAATGACCATTTCTCTATTTCTTTTAAGACTTGACCAGGAGCAGTGAGGATATCTCAAAGTGCTTCACGTAGTTTATTGTAAAGGTAGTGACTATGCAGCAGTCAATTTGCAAAGAGCAATATCACACAGACAGCCATAGAGCAAGTGACCAATTGTATCTGCGGGGGCTGTTTGCTACAGCACCAAAAACTCCCTTCCCTTTTCAAATAGTGCCGTGGGTGCTTTAACATCCACCTGATCAGGCAGATGGGACCTGGGTTTAACATCTCATCTGAAAGATGACATGTCCAACAACGCAGTGCTCCTCCAGCTCTGCATTGAGTGGCTAGTATATAGCCTATACCATATGATTTCAAAGTCTTGACGTGGCAATTGAACCCGCTATCCTCTGACTCAGAGACAAGAGTGCTACCAACTAACTCTCGTCTGTGTGAAGAACACATTCTAGCGTTTGTGCTGAATTTGCCCTTTGCAGCCCTGAAACTGCGCCCTCTTGTCCTGCTGCCTTAGTGTATCTGAAAGTATTAATCAGTGTTTATTTTGTCAGTCTCATTTAGAATCTTATACATTTCTATAAGAGCCTCTCTGGAATTACTCATTTTCAGGGCTGAAGCTTAATCATTAGGGACAATACGCTCATTCTCTTACATTTTCACAGAAACACTATTTTTCAAACAAATTCTTAGATTGCAAGTAAAATGCAGAAACAGAAGCGTATCAGTGAGCTGCACACCCAGGACAAGGAAGAACAAAGTTCGTATTGAGATTTAAACGGTAAAATGCCTGTCATAACAATTAATATCACATATAGTGTGGATTTCATAGGAAAACAGCAGCCATTTTATGCACAGCAAAACCCACACCCTCATTGCTGTTTGTAGGGCATTCTTGAATCAAATTACAGTATAATACTGGTTACTCACACAACTTGCATTTGTTTGACACCATAATATTTTTTAGAGATTATATATATATACTCGTCCTTACATTTGATATAGCGCCTTATCACATTCTCAAGACGTCTGAAAGCGTTTCGCAGAATATACTGTAATGTGAATTGACTATTTTGTGGGCGAAACTCGGAAATCAATCGAACACACGCTACAATGCTTGCAAAACAAATTATGTTGTGCGGAAGTCCGATTTTTCCATGTGCATGTGAGGTTGCTGGATGCAATGCAGTTTGAATAACGTCCTCACGTGCATGCACGCAGCTTTCCGCACAGACACAAGATTTCTTTTTGGAAATTTGTGACAATAGGAATTAATTTCAAAACTGGAAAACCCGACAAAAACTGAATTTTTTTGGCTACTGCAAGTTTACTTATATACAGTACTTTATTTTTACACCTCTTACAAAATACGCAGCAATTACCACCGAGACGTCCTCCTGACATGAATAATGTGTCAGATGTAAAAAGTATTATTGCAAAGGGCTCGGTGTGGTATTAAAGTGACAGTATAATTCCAGACGGAGCAATTTTGTTTAAATTAGCACTGTATACTTTATGTTGTGTCCAATTAGTTACGCTGTATTTTTATTCAGTGGGGCCGGTCTCAAGGAGTGCAGATAATCACCTTTCTTTGTAACCGTCACATTTGCCTCCATTACATCAGTCACATCAATTCTAAATTCCGGGCTTCACACGGTTTACTGTAAATCATAATGATAGTATTTTATGGGGGAGTACGGCAGTCAATTTGTGTACAGCAATGTCCCACAAACAACCATGAAGTTAATTCCACTTTTTTGGCCATTTAGTTAGAACACCAGGAAACTCCCTTCTCTTTTCCAATAGTACCATGGGATCCTGAATGACCACCTGAATAGGCAAACATCTCATCCGAAGGATGGCATCTCTGATAATGCAGCACTCCCCCCAAACTGTATTAGAGTGTCAGTCTAGACTCGGGTTCAAAGTCCAGAAGTGGAACTTGAACCCATAACCTTCTGACTCTAAAGCAAGTGTGCTACCAACTTATAATAATAATAATCCTTGCATTTGATACAGCGCTTTTCACATCTTCTCAATGTCTCAAAGCGCTTCACAGAATATACTGTAAAGTGAATTGACTGTACATTTGTGGGCGAAACGCAGCAGCCAATTGCGCACAACAGCGTCCCACAAACAGTCGTGGGAAATTGGAAAATGACCAATTTATTATCGTTTTGTTTTTGGAGGGATTATTATTAGGCTCTGTGTGGAGTCAGCTCTCCCTCTTTCTCTGAGAGCAAAGTTGGGTGAGGAAAAAAAAGAGGAATCCTGAGCCTAAAAGATGCGTTTTCCTCCAAACATCAATGAATCTTTCCTACTGTCAATTAGTAAAAGTTACATAGTGCCGTTCACGTAGAACACTAGAAGCGAAGGGGGAATATGAAGGCGAGAAAGTTTTTTAGGACGGTTTTGAAAGTAAGATATTCTGAATGTAATTTCTGAGAGCAGAGATACAGTGGTTGAAAGCCGGGCCGACAAATTTAAAGTTTTGGAAAAAAAACATACAGTTTGCTCAATAGTCCTGGGGTCTATTACTATTATTAAATTATTATTGTTGATCGCGAGACAAAATGTAGAGAAAGGCAAAACGTCTGATTACTCACCTGCTAACCACTTTCAAGAGGGAGGCGAGGGAGATGAAAACAATGAGCAAAACTGTACGATTTTCCCTCCTGCCATCAATGATTTAGTAATAATTACTTCCGCTTTTATAGCACATTCCTCATATTTTTAAAAACATATTAAAAGCTATAGTCCACACCCTTGGAGAACTATGTGTTCTAACTAAACTTACAAAATAAATTGGCCACTCATTCCACGACGGCGTGTGGGATGCAATTAATTGGCCGCCGCGTTTCACCCACAAATATACCGTCAATTCACTTCACGGTCTATTCTGTGAAGCGCTTTGAGACGTCGAGAAGACGTGAAAAGCGCTATTTTGAATGCAAGGATTATTATTATTAATATATTATCATTTTAAAAAAAAACAAGGCAGGACAACTATGATCGTCAGTTCGTATGTGTTGAATCCTTTGGGATGAATGAACGGACAAATTGCCTTCCGACAACAAATGAAGGGAGACTTTTTAATTTTTTTTTAACAGACAAACCAAAATCTGCGCCTCATTTCATTAACGACACAAAGATTGTTGGAAAATAACACCCGTAATTTAACCGCCACAACCCCCCCCACCCCAACCCCCACCCCACCCGCCCCCACCCCAACACCCCCCCACCCAACCCCCCACCCCAACCGCCCCCACCCAACACCCCCCAACCCCAACCCCCCCACATATACACCCGCCAAAAATATACCAAAAAAAAGAAACTGCGCACATAAAAACGGCATTGTTTAAAACAGGCGAAACTGGCGGAGAGGTTGGGTGGGGGGGGAGGTCGGGGTGGGGGGAGAGGTCGGGGGGGAAAGGTCTGGGGGGGAGAGGTTGGGGGGGGGAGGTCGGGGGGGGAGAGGTCGGGGGGGGGAGAGGTCAGGGGGGGAGAGGTCAGGGGGGGGAGAGGTCAGGGGGGGTGGAGGTCAGGGGGGGGAGAGGTCTGGGGGGGAGAGGTCTGGGGGGGGGAGAGGTCTGGGGGGGGGGGGAGAGGTGGGGGGGGAGAGGTGGGGGGTGGAGGTCAGGGGGGAGAGGTCAGGGGTTGTGGGGAGGGGGGGAGAGAGGTTAGGGGGGAGGGGGGGAGAGATGAGGGGATGGGGGAGAGAGGTTAGGGGGGAGGGGGGGAGAGATGAGGGGATGGGGGGGAGGTCGAGGGGGTGGGGGGGGGAGAGGTGATGGGGGGGAGAAGTCAAGGGGGGGGAGGGAAGTCGCCTGTAAGATACACAGTCACTACACTTTGCAGTATATCCTGTGAAGCGCTTCGAGACGTCTTGAAGACGCGCCATATTATCAAACGCCGGGATTATTATTATTATATTTTTAACGGTAATTCATTGTGGGGGGAGTACAGGGCCGAGGATTTCGAAACTTAAAAGGCTTTGTCTTTAATTCGGGGTCTGGTCTCTCCCTCTCTCTCCCTCTCTCTCGGGTCTCCGCCGCCAATAGGGCCGCGCCGCCACCTCTCCCCTCTCTCTCTCTCACACTCACTCTCTCACTCACTGTTGTCGCTCTGCGCAAAACGCGGCTTTTCACTATTACTATCATTTACTTTCTGTTAAGACTCCCCGCCCTCCTGCTCTCTCTCTCACTCGCGCTCTCTCTCCATCCGCCCTCGCCGCTCCCCGGGGCCGCCCTCGGCCGCTGCTTTTGGCGCCGCTTTTCCCTCCCACCGACTTACCCTCAACTCGTCAAAATCCGCCATCTTGCGGCCCGTCCCATCATGCAACTCGCGCCTCCCCCCGCCCACCCCGGGGCGGGGCGGGGACCACGTGACACCGAGGGCAGGCGGGCGGGAGAGGAGCACGTGATCTGTGTGTGTGTGTGTGTGGAGGGGGGAATGATAGGGGCACGTGACTATGGGTGTGTGAATGGGACGGGAGGGAAGCACGTGATCTGTGTGTGTGTGTGGGGGGGGGTAATAGGGGCACGTGACCTGTCTGTGTGAATGGGACGGGAGGGGAGCACGTGACCTGTGTGTGTGTGTGGGATGATAAGGGCACGTTGACCTGTCTGTGTGAATGGGGCGGGAGGGGAGCACGTGACCTGTGTGTGTGTGTGTGTGTGGGATGATAGGGGCACGTGACCTGTCTGTGTGAATGGGGCGGGAGGGGAGCACGTGACCTGTGTGTGTGTGTGTGTGTGTGGGATGATAGGGGCACGTGACCTGTCTGTGTGAATGGGGCGGGAGGGGAGCACGTGACCTGTGTGTGTGCGAGTGGGGACTGGAGAGGAGCACATGGTCCGCGTGTGTGTGTGTGTGTGTGTGAGAGCTGGAATGGAGGGGAGCACGTGATTTTTTTGCGGGGGTGTGGGGGGGGGGGTGTCAGCCGGGTGTCTTGACCCGCACGGAAACCCATCGCCGTCGCTTCAGAGTCTCCAAACCAAGCTGAGAATTCCCCGCCTCCCTACGCCTGGAAATCCCAGAGATAGATCGTTGGAATGGAATGCAATGCGCTCTCTCACTCTCCTCCCTGGAGGGACGCTTCCCGCTTACCTAATTCCAGGGAGTATTAGGGCGCAGGTTGGCAGGAGCCAAGGTTTGGGGACCCCCAGAGTGTGGGTTGGGGTAACTGCCGGAGTCTGACCAGCTAAAACCACGTAGCTTTGCCATTGAGAGAGAGAGCACTGTCTGGCCAGCTTCCCCGCTGCTTGTCCAGTTTGGATTACGCGATCTGGGGAAAGCCAAAGAGCAGCACATGATTCAAAACTACCGTTTCTTTTTGTCCTCACCCGTATTAAGCTCCTCACCCCCATCGCCCTAGTCCTTGCCAGGCTCCCAGTTGCAGAACGGTTTGATTTCGAGATCCTCACTCTCACTTTCAAGTCTTTCCAACATGGCACCTCCCACCTCTTTGGTCTGCTCACCTCTCCATTTCACTATCCTCCGCCTTCAATCAGCTGGCTCACCCTTAAGTATGGTTGATGGGTTTCTATATGTGTCAGATGCCCGACTGACCAAGAAAAATCCAAAACACAGTAACTGACAAAAAGGTACTATTTCAACAGCAAGCACTATTATTAACAAAGTGCTTCATGGCTTTCAGCTACTATGCCTCAGACAAATTGTCTCAATCCCTCCGTTTTGCCCGCTCTTCACACCTGAAGACGTTCCTCTTTGACTGTGCTTACAGTTCCTCCCCCGAACTCAGCTTCAAGCTCCACTGCCGTTATGTTACCCCATGTTAAAAGAACTATATTGTGTCAGCCTGCCACAGTGGTACCATTCTTGCCTCTAAGTCAGAAGGTTGTCAGTTCAAGCCCCATCTCAGGACTCAGAATCATAGTCTAAGGTGTCACTCCATTTTTGCATTGTCGTAGGTACTGTCCTTCATATGAGAAATTAACTGAGGTCCTGTCTGCCTGTGGACGTTAAAGATCCCATGGTGCTATTTGAAAAGAGAAGGGAATTTTTCTCTCCTGGTGTCCTGGAATTGTAATTTTTATTTCAGTTTTATCTTTCTATCTATTTTAATAATAATAGTTTGGTCGCTCCAAAGTTCCAAGGCTGTTTGTGGGTCCTTGCTATGCGCAACTGGCTGCCGCGTTTCGCCTACAAAATACACAGTCACTACACTTTACAGTATATTTACAAATGTGTAAATTTCCTTAATCCACATGGTCAGTTCACCTAACAGTAAGTAGGAACCCGATTGTTGACCCGCTCTGCCTTTTCCCCACCTCCGCAATGTCGCGTGGCTCTGCCACTGTCTCACACCGCAGGCCGCCGAAACCCTCATACATGCTTTCATTCTATCGAGGCTCGACTATGCAAACTCATTGCTTTCTTGGCCTCCCCAACTCCTCCATACATAGGCTGCAGATCATCCAGAACTCTGCAGCCCATGGCCTCTCCCGCACTAAGCTCCACAACACTATCATCACCATCCTTGCCAACTCCACTGGCTTCCCATCACACAGAGGATACAGTTCAAGATGCTGGTCCTCACCTTCAAAGCCCTCCACGGTCTTGTACCCCCCTACGACCTCCTAACCTCCTACCATCCTGTTCACTCCCTCTGCTCAGTGGGTTCCGGCCTGCTTCTTGTCCCTTGCCTCGCTCGTCCCACCGTTGGCCGGCAAACCTTCCACCATTCTGCCCCCAACCTCTGGAACTCCATCCCGCAGTCCCACCACCTCGCCTCCTCCCTCGCCACTTTCAAGACCCATCTCAAGACCCCCCTCTTCGACAGTGCTTTTGATCTGCTTCCCCCTGCCCTCCACCCTCCCTCACCCCGACCCCCCGCTCAGATCCGTAACTCTGTCTATCCAGCGCCTTGGGACGTCCTCGCAACGTGAAAGGCACTTCACAAATGTAATTTTGTTGTTGTTAGTTGATTGGCGGATTGCTTTTCCGGAGGCAATAATTCCTTCAAAAAATAATAATAAATTGGTCACTCAATCCACGACTGTTTGTGGGACATTGCTGTGCGCAATTGGCTGCCGCGTTCGCCCACAAATATACAGTCAATTCACTTTACAGTATATTCTGTGAAGCGCTTTGGGACGTCCGCCCGACGTGAAAAGCGCTATATCAAATGCAAGGATTATTATTATTATTATTATGTTTTATTATATTCTGCGAAGCACTTTGAGACGTGTTGACGTGATAAAGCCACTGTATCAAATGCAAGGATTATTACAAGTGGTTTGAGGCATCCTCCTGATGTGTAACTGTAAGTGCAAGCTGTTGTTGTGGTGGTGATGTGTAGTGACTGTGCATTGTGATATTAAAGAGATTGGGCAATTCAGGCAGGAGGCGGGGTGATGGTTGGAGCATGCGCACATCCATCACTGGGCGGGAGCAAGAGGGCGGGAGCTGATTGGAGGATGAACACAAGGGGTGTCAGGCTGGGGCGGCAGCTGATTGGACAATTCGTCAATCACGGGGCGGCGCCGTAGCGGTGACAGTTGATTGGACAATACTCACGTCAATCGGAGGGGGGGGTGGGCGGCACCGTTACGGTGACAGTTGATTGGACAATACGCACGTCAATCGGGGGCGGGCGCGAGAGATGATTGGACAGAGCGCGCGTCAATCGCAAAGGGGGCGGGAGAGAGAGAGACAGAGAGAAAGAGAGAGAGAGAGAGACAGTTGTACCACTTCACAGTGAGTACTGAAGATCATCACAGAGTGGACATTACCAACAGAGTGTTCATTACCAACAGAGAGTGTTCATTACCAACAGAGAGTGGACATTACCAACAGAGAGAGTGGACATTACCAACAGAGAGAGTGGACATTACCAACAGAGAGTGGACATTACCAACAGAGAGAGTGGACATTACCAACAGAGAGTGGACGTTACCAACAGAGAGAGTGGACATTACCAACAGAGAGTGGACATTACAAACAGAGAGTGGACATTACCAACAGAGAGAGTGGACATTAACAACAGAGAGTGGACATTACCAACAGAGAGTGGATATTACCAACAGAGAGTGGACATTACCAACAGAGAGAGTGGACATTAACAACAGAGAGTGGACATTACCAACAGAGAGTGGACATTACCAACAGAGAGTGGACATTACCAACGGAGAGTGGACATTACCAACAGAGAGAGTGGACATTACCAACAGAGAGAGTGGACATTAACAACAGAGAGTGGACATTACCAACAGAGAGAGTGGACATTACCAACAGAGAGAGTGGACATTACCAACAGAGAGAGTGGACATTACCAACAGAGAGTGAAAGGTATACCCGGGAGAGTGAGGCGGACACTTTGCCCGATGTCTCAGGATCTCTCCTACCAAACCATGAAGGTGGCGAATCAGGTCAGGGAGGCGGTAAGTGCAGGACAGACGCCGCTCCAGCAACTCGGGACGCCCTCTCGAGGCAACGGGGCTCGATGACAAATGTAATTTGCGGTCGTTGCCGTCGTTGAGGTTTTTATTTCCCTCCAAAAAGCAAAAATCTGGTGCGCTGCGTTGACCCGACCCTCCCGCAGGACAAGACAAGACACGACCGTCCAGTTCGGTTCCACAGCGAGTCCGACCCCTTCCATTGGCTGCGCGTTCACCTGCACAGTCACTACACTTCCTGGTGAATCCCGCGAGGCGCTTTTTGGATGAACTCTCGTGAAAGGCTCCACGTCAAATGCGAAAATTATTATTACGTAGCGTTCCTTCTCGTGGGATAATGCCTTAACGTTTAAAGCACTGTGAAGCCCGAACCGGGGTGGCGGGAAGGGGTAAGGTATCCGGGGGGGACGCGGGGGGGGGGGGGGGGGGAGTGGGGTCAAAGAATTATTTTTAATTTCTATTTGAGGCATTGAGATGAGAAATGGTCCATTCATTTCGTGGCTGTTTGTGGGATGGATGTTGGACTCCGGGCAAACTGGTGAACCTAAAAGAATACGCAGCCGCAACGCGCCACGGACGTCCGTGAAGCGCTTCGGGACGTCTCAAAAGATGTGACGGAGGCGTCACATCGACCGCCAGGATTGGCGTTGCTGTTAAATCCCGCGAAGCGCTGAGACGTCTTCCCTGACGCGAACGACGCCGTCCGTCCGTAACGTAAGGACGGTCAATGTTATCGGCGTTTCCTTCGCTAAAACGCTATCGTAGGTGAAGTCAAAAGCCGAGGGGCGGTCGGAAAGTTTTTTTTTTAATCCCATTTCAGTGTAGACTTCTTTAATTCAAAGTTCGGTGAAATAATTTGGAGGCAATGAACATCTCTCTCTCTCTCTCTCTCTCTCTTCTCCGATGAGCTTTGACAGGAAGGATTGAGTTGAGGCAGAACTTTATGGGTTTCCTTTTTTTTTTTTGTCTTGAGAGGTAAAATATAGGTGCGTTTAAAAAAAAAAAAGATCTTTCCGAAGGGCGGAGGTTTGATGGTGTGAGTTATTTGCGGAGAAGTGTCTTTTATTTTGTGTTTGTGCTTCCAAACGTGTATTGGGGCCTCTGTGGAGTCGGCCGTTGCCAAGGGAACGGGCGCAGGACGCCCCCTGTAGGTGGGAGGACGAACAACAGCGACAATCCCTTGCGTCCACTCGCTGAGAGGCGTCCCAAGGCGCTCCGCCCGATGGCGCTGTCAAGTGCGGTGACCGTATTCTATGGCGAAGTGCACGCAGCAGTGTCCGGCAAAGAGTCGCGGATTGAGTGACCAAAGTGGAGTCCTGTAGCGCAGCGGTTAGAGCACTCGCTTTGCGAGCGAGAGACCTGAGTTCAATTCCAGGCAGAGGGCGAAACCTTGGGCAAGTTTCCTTACTCCACACAGAGCCTAATAATAATCCCTCCAAAACCAAAAACAATAATAAATTGGTCATTTTCAATCTACGACTGTTTGTGGGACATTGCTGTGCGCAATTGGCTGCCGCGTTCGCCCACAAATATACAGTCAACAGTGTGTTCTGTGAAGTGCTTTGGGACGTCCTCCCGACGTGAAAAGCGCTATATCAAATGCAAGGATTATTATTATTATTATTATTGTTGTTATTTTTTTTTTGGGGGGGGGAGGGATTTTTACCCCCGGAAAAGCCATCCGCCAGTCGATTACTGCTAGGTAAGTAGAGGCGTGTGGAGTAAGGAACCTTAGGTTTCGTCCCCGCCGGAATCGAACCCGGGTCCTCTCGTTCGCGAGGCGAGTGCTCTAACCGCTATTCTACAGGACTCCTGAAGGCCGTAGGTTCAAACCCCGCTGTCACCGCAGTGAGCACTGTGTGGGGGGGCGTTATTGGAGATGCCGACATTAGCAGTCCCATGTCGCTGTCGGAAAAGGATAAGGAGTTTCTCCCAAGATTCGGGTGGAAACAATTCACTGAGTGTCATGTGAGAAATGTGTATAACGCTCTGGATCTCTCACGAGCGCTGTGGGAAGCCACCCTGTGTGACAGGCTCTATATAAATGCAAGTTTTGTCCACAAAATATACAGTCAATTCACTTTGCAGTATATTCTGTGAAGCGTTTCGGGACGTCTCGAAGAAGATGTGATAAGGCGCTACATCAAATGCAAGGATTATTATTTATTAAGTTGTTGTAGTGAGACTTTTTGAGCTGTTTTAATGGGATAAATGTTCCCTCTTGTCCTTCATTTCTCATTTGCAGGAAGAACTCCGGTCAGAGGCACGTCGCAAAAATCTCCTGATTTTAATTTTGAACTACCTGTCGGATGAGGGGTGAGTGCGACACTCGCAGTTATATAATGGAGATTTACAACTTACTCATTCGCTCCTTCATTTACCACCGATCTTTGCCAACACTGGCAGGTCAGATGTGGTCATGTAGACATGCACTACTCTAGGCCACCTCACTTGGGATGTTTATAAGGGAGTGGAATCGCGACTTGGGAGGTAAGGGCATTAAGAAAAATAATAATTAATAATATAATAATCCTTGCATTTGATATAGCACCTTATCAAGTCGTTGAGACATCTCAAAGCGCATCACGGGTTTTACTGTAGCGACTGTGTACTTTGTGGGCGAAACACGGCTGCCAGTTGTGCAAAGCAGTGCCCCTCAAACAGCCACGGAGTGAGCGATCAACTTTATTTCGGGGAATTGTTGGCCAGGATACCGGGGGAAAGAAACTCCCTTCTCTTTTCAAATAGTCCTTTGGGATCTTTAATATTCGCCCAAACAGGCAGACAGGACCTCAGTTTAATGACTCATCCGAAGGATGACACCTCAAACAATGCAACACCCCCCAGCACTGCATTGGAGCGTCAGCTTAGTCTGTGTGATCCCAAGTCCAAATGTGGGGCTTTAACCCACAACCTTCTGATACAGAGGTGAGAGTGCTACCACTGAGCCAGGCTGACACACTCAGTGGGGAATTAAAATAAATGTTACATCAAGGTCCCATTTGTTAAAGACACTTGAAAAAGAGAGAGTCCTAACCAACAATCCCCCAAATAAATAATTATTTCACCTCAAAACTGTTTGTGGGTGTGTGCTGTGCCTACAATTGTTTTTTGAGGTCAGCCTTGTATCTGACATGTACAGAAACCCATCACCATTGCTTAAGAGTCTCCAAACCAGGCTGAGAATTCCATGTATCCCACCTACACTTGGAAATCCCAGAGATAGATTGTTGGTATGGAATGCGCTCATTTCCTGGAGGTAGACATCCTGTTTACCTAATTCCAGACATTATTAGGCACAGATTGGCTAGAGTCAAGGCTTGGAGACCTCAGAGTGTGGTTGGGGTAACTGCTGGAGTCTAACCAGCTAATACTGCATAGCTTGCCATTGATATCACTGTCTGGCAAGCTTTCCCATCTGCATTTGCATCACCTAATGGTAGTTTCTCTGAAGCTTTGTCAGTGTTATTGTTGGTATGAAGTTGGATGCTTTCTGTCTAGTTACATGGACACTGCCAACTCACTGGACCAAGAAACCAACATGGGACTACACCGTTTTGAAGTCTGTGACAACATCGATCTGGAAACCATCCTGATGGAATACGAAAGCTACTATTACGTCAAGTTTCAGCGATTCCCAAAGCTAACCAAAAAGGCAGCGGACAGCGGTAGGTCAAACCAGCTTCTCTGCTGCGGTTTAGAAAGAAAGTAGGAACAGTTCACAGTGTGCTGGTATATTAAACTCCCAAACACATCTTACCCCCCCAGTGCACTGAACAGGAGTAGCTATTCAGCCCTGTTCCACCATTCTCTAAGGTCAGGCCTGATCCGTACCTCAACTCCAACTACCCGCCCTTGCCCCGTATCCCTTGATAACCTAACCTAACAACAACAACTACAACTAGATTACATTTGTATAACAAACAAACATCTATCCACCCCAGTCTTGAAAATTTGAAGGGATCCAGCGTCCACACCCTTTTGGGGGAGAGAGTTCCACTACTCTTTGCGTGATAAAATGCTTCCTGATTTCACTCCTAAATTGCCTCGCTCTAATTTTAACATTATACCCCCCTTGTTCTGGATTCCTCCACGAACAATTGAAACATGTGGAAGAATGATGATAATTGTATTTAGAAGTACTTCATTGTATTCTGTACAAGTGTTTAACTGTATTTAAACGTCCAGAGGATGTGTGTGAGTGAGTGCCATCATTTTCATGGTAGATAATCGATCCATCGCCACGTTCGGTGCTACATCTGCTGTAACGTGAATGGAGTCAGTGAGGAGGAAGTTACTGGTGTCAGATATTGTTACTATCCACTCACCTGCAACAGAAATAAAACTTCACACATGGGGGTAACAGGACTTTGTGAACACCTTGTTGAGTGGGACCCTGTTATTGCAGTAATCTGCAGGTCTGTATATAGCACAAGTCACTGGGGACCTGAGGTATTCCGATAGACCTCTGATGTGTACAATGACGAAGGTCTCCCTAAGTCCCAGCAGTCGCTGGGGACGCTTGTGAAATTAGCAGCCAGGTTTGGTAATTCATTCTCTGACAAAAAGGTCATCGACCTGAAACGTTATCGCACTTTCCTCTCTCCATAGATGCTGCCTGACCTGCTGAGTGTTCCCAGCCACTTCTCTTTTTATTTCAGAGTTCCAACGTTTGCAGTATTTTCCCAGCATGAGGGATGCTAAATAAATGCAAGTTGTTGTGACGTCATTGGTGACCCATTGACCTACACTGCATTGGTCTGATCTTATGGACCCGAACTACCACCTTGTAACAGGGGTCTAACTAATACAGACTCTATGCCTGACAGCTTGAAGTCTCAGCGAGTTTATTCAGTGTGGGGCTGAGACGTAGAGACAAGTCCCCTGGTTTAATTCTCAGTTAGTGCCGAGTATCACAGTGGTCAGTGAGCAGAAGTTAGCCATGGTTCCCTGGTCTGGCTTGCTACGCATATTTTTCTGTAATTAATCCCACTAAATCTTTTACTCCACGTCCCTTACTTGTTTTTTCTTTCACAATCCAGTTCCCTTTTGAATGATTCTGTTGACCTCAGTAATCCCCCGGATAAATCAGTTACTTGCTTCCCAGAGGTACCGTACTGTGTATATATTGGCCTCACTGGGATGGGTGAGGATTTAATATTTTACAAGCTTCCTTTAGCAATAAGTACAGAAGTGAATGGACTTCTGACTGTCCATTCACAGCTACATTGTGTGAAACTTTGTTTGTTTACAGAAAGCGGAAAATTGCAGCTGAGAAGTGGAGGGAAATTAAAACGGTAAGAAATCTAACCCAGGATTGTCTCCGGTCCATGCTGAGAGAGCTGGTCTCAGCTCAGCTACTGATTACTGCCACAGTTAGCTCAAAGGTTATGGAGGTGGGAAGATCAGCCATGGATCCCTTCCTGATATCTGAACGAGCCTGATTCCCAAAATCTTTAGCAAGTTTCCTTACTCCACACACCGCTGTTTACCTAGCTGTAAATAGGAACACGGTTGGCAGTCGATTGGCAGATTGCTTTTCTCGGGGTATAATCCCTCAAAAGAAAAGAATAATTTGGTCACTCAATCCACAACTGCTGACTGCAATTAGCTACTGCGTTTTGCCCACAGTCACTACACTTTAGAGTATATTCTGTGAAGCGCTTTGAGACATCAGGACATTAGGAGAAACTCCATCCTTTTGACGTGATAAGGTGCTGTATCGAATGCAAGGATTATTATTATTGCACTTGACAGCAAATCCCTTTGAAGCGCTTTGCAGAGTTTCAGCATTATTGGAGCTGTAACCAAATCTAAAGATTGGTTTTATTAGAGTTTCCTGTGTTTCCAGGACAATGAGCTACACCAGCCAGGTGCTGCCTAGAATCTCTACCACAATGCGGCCATCATCCAAGACAGCAGTGAGGAAGACTGAGGTGAAATCCGCTAGCAAGGAAAAACCAAAACAGGTCAGGCAGCACAAGGGGCTTTCTGATCATCCACACACGCCAGGCACTCTTCTTTGTGATCCATCTACCTGTTTAGGTGGATGATAAAGATCCCACAACACAACTGGAAAAAATAAGGGAGTTTCTCCTAATGTCCTGGCCAATAGTTATCCATTAATCAGTCGTTCATCTATCACCCCTCCATTGGCACCCCATCCCCCAGCGAATCGAGTTCAAAATCTTCCACAGTCTCGGCCCACCCTACCTCTGGGAGTTCCTTCAACTCTACCAAGCCGGATGCTCTCTTTGCTCAGTAAGGATTGGCCTGTTTCATGTTCTCGGCCTCATCGGCCCCACCATCAGTGGCCAGAGGCTGCCAGCCATTCTGCCACTGCTCTCTGGAACGCCATCCTTGCATTTGATAAAGCACCTTATCATGCCTCAAAGCGCTTCACAGGATTTACTATAAAGTCTAGTGACTGTATTTTGTGGGCGAACGCAGCAGCCAGTTGTGCACAGGAATGTCCCATAAACAGCCGTGGAAGGAGTGACCAATTTTATCTGTAGGATTGTTGGCCAGGACATTGTGAGAGATAAATTCCCTTCTCTTTTCCATGGGAATAGTGCCATGGGATCATTAACATCCAACTGAACAGTTTAACATCCCATCCGAAGGACGGCACCTCTGACAATGCAACACCTCCCAGGAAAGCATTGGAGCATCAGCTTAAACCATGTGATGCCAAGACCTGATGTGGGTCTTGAACCCAGAACCTTCTGACTCAAAGACTATCACTGAGCTGAGGCTCTGACACACACACACACATATATATATCATTATTTTATATTTTTATTATATATTCTTATATAATTTTTATTTTATTTTCTTCATGCTTGGTGTGATTTATAACACCTGCTGCCTGGGCTGGTGAGGCTCACTGTGATCTCTGTCGGTGTATGTTGTAGGAAAACGGATCTGCTACACCTTCTGACACCTCTGACTTTGGCTTGAGTGTATCAGCCATCAACAAGTGCGGAGACGGTCCTCATACCAAGCGGGTGAGAAAACACCGTCCCTTCCCGCCAAACGTTCACTTTCTATCCTTCTTTGCTTGTCCCTCCATCCAGGGTGCAGCGGACTCATTTATAATAATATAATTATGCATTTAGTGTATGCCTTATCACATCGTCGAGACATCTCAAAGCTCTTCACAGAACATACTGTAAAGTGGATTGACTGTATATTTTGTGGGAGAAGCACGGCAGCAAATTGCACACAGCAGCGTCCCACAAACAGTCGTGGATTGAGTGACCAAATCTATGTATTTTGGGGAGGATTATTACCCCGCAAAAGCGATCCGCCAATCGACTAACAAGCAGGTTCCTACTTACTGCTAGGTGTGGAGTAAGGAAACTCGTCTAAGGTTTCACTCTGCCTGGGAATCGAACCCACGTCCTCTCGCTTTGGAGGCGAGCTCTCTACCCTCCACGAAATTCTGAGGTTTCTTATTCGATTGAATGTGATCTAAATCTGGAGTGAAAGGTTGCTTCACATTCCTGGTGAACTGCGTTTAAAAGTCAGTGAGCAATGTTTAACCATCTGTGTTTATTGGGACCAGATCATCGATTTCCGCAGTCTGATCCAAGACGCTGTGAAAAATGAAGTTTCGCTGAACAGCCTGAGTTACAATCAAGACCCTTCGGTGAGTCAGCACACAGCCATGCAGCCTGTTCTTAATACCATTGGTTCCAAACTCTGGGTCAAATCTCACCTGGATCCCAACTGTCAAAAGGGACCTTTTGGGGAAAGATAATAATAATAATCCTTGCACTTGATGTCGCGCCTTCACGGAATATACTGAATTCACTATATGTTTTGTGTGCGAAACACAGCAGCCGATCAATCGCGCGCAGCAGTGTCCCACAAACAGTCCGAATGAGTGCTTGTCGGCCTCCCCAACTCCTCCCTCCACAGGCTGCAGATCATCCAGAGCTCTGCAGCTCGTGTCCTCTCCCGTATCAGGCTCTGTGACCCTATCACCCCAATCCTCACCCAACTCCACTGGCTTCCCATCACACAGAGGATACAGTACAAGATCCTGGTCCTCACCTTCAAAGCCCTCCATGGTCTTGCTCCCCTCTACCTCTGCGACCTCTCAATCCCCTACCATCCTGCTCGTTCCCTGCGCTCAGCGGGCTCCGGCCTGCTTTACATCCCCCGCCTCGCCCTACCCACCATTGGCGGGCGGACCTTCAGCCACCCACCCTCTGGAACTCCGTCCTGCAGTCCCTCCTCCTCGCCCCCCTCCCTTGCCTCCTTTAAGACCCATCTCTAGACCCTCCCCTATGACCGTGCTCTCAATCACCCTGCTTCGCCCCCTGCCCTCCACCCACCCCAATCCCGATCCCCAGTATGGATCCGAAACTCTGACTGTCCAGGGCCTTGGGCCATCCTCCTGACCTGAAAGGCGCTATACAAATGTAATTTTGTTATTGTTTGCCACGTTGTGCTTTGATTTTGCATTTTATTTTGTTAGGAGCGTTTAATAAAACCTCTGGGTGCCTTCCTAGGAGCCAACAGTGAATTGAGGGAGTTGGCGGTAGTTATTAGCCGGGTAAGTGTTCAGCAGCTAATATAGGTAAGAAAACAGGAAGAGGAAGAGGCCATTCAGTCCATCAAGCCTGTTCCATCAGTTGATCAGATCTTGGCAGATTTTATAATCCGGATGCCTGTCCTTCCACCATTACCCTTAGTGCCAGCCTGGGGCAATGGTAGCGCTCTCGCCTCCCGAGTCAGACGGAATCACACAGTCTAAGCTGACGTTCCAATGCAGTGCTGGGGGGGGTGTTGCAATGTAGGAGGTGCCATCTTTCAGGTGCGACGTTAAACCGTGGTCGGCCCCGTCTGCCTGTTTAGGTGGACGTTAAAGATCCGCGCTATTGTTGTGGAATAAAAGCGTAGACCACACAAATAATCAACAGTAATCAGTACAGGCTTTATTACGAGCTGTATTACAAGCTTTATTGCAAGCTGAACTACCAGCTTTATTACAAACTTACCGGTAAGGGGAAGCACCCAATCAGGTTCCCAAGTCACCCGAAATGGTACTTCCAAAGAATGTATAAAAACAAAGGGTTATATTCTTTTTCTTAACAGGTTATGCGGCATTTTACAACCAATGATTATTTCTTACCATGACCTTGACAATTCTGCAGCATTTTTACATCCAATCATAGCAATCAACAGTTTTCCTTTGTTTGCTATAGTTTCACGCACTCATATCAGAGTCGTGTGATCTTACCTGACCCTGAAGAGCGGTACCATCTGGTTTTAACAGTTTTATCGTCTGGGAAAGGGTTGGGATGTCGGAGACTTTGTGTAAAGACCTTGAGTAAGACCACTGTATAAGGCTATGTGGCAACACTGTGTACGTGCTTCAATTATCTATCACGTGAACCAACCATGCACGTTGTGAGGGTCGTATAACCTCTGAAGGCTGATGGTACTTTTAATGTCATCTTCCACACTATTCGAGAAGAGAAGGGAATTTCCCTTTCCTGATGTCCTGGCCGAAAACTCCCGCAAATAAAAACAATTGCTGGATATCTCTTTCAAAGAGCTGGCCTCCTCCTGTGCTGTACGAGGCGATGATTCTACCGCGTTATTGTGTGGGGAGGAACAGGAGCAGCGTGGCTTGTGAGTTGTATCTGAACTGGACTCTGTTATCTGTCAGGATATTTATCACCACAATCCCAACGTGACGTGGGACAGTATCATTGGGCTGGACGCAGCCAAGCGACTGGTGAAGGAGGCCGTGGTTTACCCGATTAAGGCAAGTCATTTTACTTTAAAAATTCAACTATATTATAATAATCCTTCATTTCGAAGCGTTTCACACAGAACTGCTTTTCAAGTTTTCAGTGACTATATTCTTATCGGCAAATGTGGCAGCCTTTTTGCACACATTACACACACATATACACAAATATACATATATACACTCTCACACACACACACACAGACACACAGAGCCATCAGGTGAACAACATATTTTGCTGCAGGATTGTTTTCAAGGCCACCAGGAGAAACTCCTTTTGAATAGCATCGCCTCAAGAACAGTTTAATAGAGGTTACAACACAGGAGGAAGCCATTCACACTACCACTACCACAACAACAACAACAAGATTCCATTTATAAAGCGCCTTTCACGTCAGGAGGACGTCCCAAGGCGCTGACCACACCACTGGAGCTCTCTACTCTAACCCCATTCCCTGCTCTCTCCCCATCGTGTCTGTGCTGTTGCTCACTCCCCCACTGGAGCTCTCTACTCTAACCCCATTCCCTGCTCTCTCCCCATCGTGTCTGTGCTGTTGCTCGCTCTGTATTCCAAACCTTGCTGCTCTTTTTCCCACCTTCTTGTATTGTTTCTCCTCAAATACTCATCTCCGGTCTCCTTCTTGCCTCTCGTCCCCTTCGCACCACCATCAGCGGCCGTGCTTTCAGCCACTACGCCCGAAACTCTGGAACACTTTCCTTCTATCCCTCCATCTTGCCCCCTTTCTTCCCCATCTTCAGGTCGTGCCTTCCTCTTTGATCGTGCTTTCCTCCCACCCCTTGGCTCGACGTCAGGTTCTGCTAATGTCGAGCGCTCTGTGACGATATATTTGTTATGGTTGTTTTAAAGCAGAGTTACGGGTCTGACTGTCCTGGGATTAATAAAGATAAGGATTTAAAAACATAGAGGGACACAGATACATCACCATATTGGGCTGCTAATGCTGTACCTTTCCCTTGCAGTATCCTCAGCTCTTCACTGGCATTCTGTCCCCATGGAAAGGGCTTTTACTCTACGGACCCCCAGGTAAGGTGTGAGTGTGCCAGTGTTTCACTTGACGTCAGACTGGCTCACTACCTCACTACCGACCGGTGTGTGAGGCTGAGCCATGCGGAGCAGGAATGTCCTGGTCTCCAATCCCAGTCTGCACTGAGATACTCATCTCTCAGTCGGCTGGGGTAGGGAGGAGGGGAAATCGGTTATGGTGCAGTAACCTTGGCAGCCATTGTGGGCACGGCAATGTCCCACACCACAAACAGCTGGGAAATTAATGTTTGAAAAGGGAGATGAGTATTTGAGGAGAAAACAATACACGATGGAGGATTGTCGGGAGATGTCCTGACCAACAGTCCTCCACCATGTATTGTCCCTTCTCTTTCCCGATAGTGTCGAGGATCTCTGACACTGACCTGAACAGGTACAGACAGAGGAGCAAGTGTCAGGGTTTAACATCTCATCCAAAGGACGGCTCCCCCTCAGCACTGCACTGGAGTGTCCGCCTGGACTGTGAGCTCAGTGTACCCCACGTGGTGACTTTCTGAATCTTCGGTGAGAGTGTCAGCGACTGAGCCAAGCGACAGACTAACAACGGTCCATGGTTTGGCTGTGTACCTGAGCTGGGTGGGCTGTGGCTTTGAGATGTTTTAGTGAGCTGCTTAATATATACATTTGTGTTATCTCACAGGGACCGGACACTTTGAGTTATTTTAATAATTATTTCTTTCTCTCTCTTTCCTGCTTCTTTGTATCTTTCCCTCTCTCTCTTCCCCTTCCTTCCTTCCCTCCGTCCCATCCCTCTCTCTTTTTCTCCCTTCTCTTTTTTTTCTCTCTCTCTCTTCTGTTTCTCTCTCTATCTCTCTCTCTCTCTCTCTCTCTGTCTCTCTCTCTATCTCTCTCCCTGTCACTCTGTCTCTCTCTCTCTCTCTCTCTGTCTCTCTCTCTAACTCTCTCGCTGTCTCTCTCTCTCTCTCTCTCTGTGTCACTCTCTGTCTCTCTTGTCTCCCTCTCTCACGTTCCCCCAGGCACGGGGAAAACACTGTTGGCCAAGGCTGTGGCCACGGAGTGTAACACCACCTTCTTCAACATCTCGGCTTCAACCATCGTCAGCAAGTGGAGAGGCGACTCCGAGAAACTGGTCCGGGTGAGGAGCAGCCACACAAACATTCAGTACAGAGAAGCCACTCAGCCCCTCGTGTCTGTTTCTCTAAATCGCCCACAAAATCTACAGTCAATTCACTTTACAAAATATCCTGTGAAGCGCTTTGAGACGTCTCGGAGACGTGATCAGGCGCGATATCAAATGCAAGGATTATTATTATTATTATTATAAAATGAATCCCGCTTTCCTTTTTTTTGCCCACATACATTTACAGCTCAGTAACTTAACCAGTTCCCTTTTGAATGATTTATTCAACCTCAATAGACACATGAATAATGAAGTCCGAGCTCTCGTTGTCCTTTCAGTAAACAACACCTCTGATAAATTCCCGGCCAATCATTCCTCTAATCACCTACGTCACACCAGCCGCGCAGACAGACAACAACAGCAACAAATTGCATTTATACAGAGCCTCTCACATCGGGAAGAGGTCCCAGGTGCCCGCTGAGAAGAGGGAGTGGACAGGTTGGTAGGTTTTTGGAGGGCACAGAGGTAAGGCGGAGCTTTTGACCGACTGATGGATTTTTTTGTCTGCTTTTAGGTGCTGTTTGAACTCGCTCGATTTCACGCTCCCTCAACTATCTTCCTGGATGAGCTGGAGTCCGTCATGAGCCAACGGGGCATTGGCCCAGGGTAAGTGCTCACAGCTCAGAGCAATGCACAGGAGAGCAACTCAGCCAGTCCCAGGGTTAGTGGACTGGGTCTGTTTCTGGAGCCTGGAAGTGAGACATCTCAGCAGGACCTTATAGCTGTATATAAGATGCCAAATGAGGTTGCGAAAGTAAAGCAGAACAATTTGTTCAGATATGCCAAGGTAACAGAACTAGGTTCAGAGGTGTGAACAATAGGTTCAGAAGTTGGGAAGATTACCAGGAAGAATGGTGAAGGACAGGACACTGGGACTTGTTGAAGAAGTGGCTCGATGGCAGGGAATCCTAGCCAATATTCCTCTCTTATCCCAATTCAACATAATTTTGTTTTGCTGAACCATGGCCCATGTGGTCTGGACGGTGTCTCTGCCTCTGTGATGCCAGAGACTGTCAGTAAATATGGTGAAACCATCAGTAAATGAGCCTGTTGGATCACTTGGTCTATAGAGATCCCTTAACACCCAATCCAGTGAGATCCCTGGTCACCAATCCAAATAGTTCCTCGATCTAAAGAGATCACAATCACTCACTCCCAACGAGAGATCTCTGATCACTCGATTAAGAAGATCTGAGCTGGACCTGGTCATTGAGACGGTGCAGGGTAAGCTCTGGATGCTCTTGTTTTGGGGAGGAAGAGATGAATAAAGAATTGCCAAAAAATATAAAGGAAATCAGTCTTGTGTGGGATGGGGGAGGGGTTGGTCTATGTGTGTTGGGGGGCGGGATGGGGATGGTGTGTGTGTGGGTGAGGGGTGAGGGAATGGTGTGTGGTGTTTGGGAGGGGGTGGTCTGTTGTGTGGTGTTAGGGGGGGATGGTGTGTCTGTGTGTGGGAGGTGAATGGTGTGTGTGAGGTGTTTGGGGGGTTTGATGTGTGTGGTGGTGGGGGGGGTGAAGGGGAGCAGACTGCAGGAGAAGCTCAGGCTAATCTGGCGGGTGTGTGGACATCCGGACGTGGCAAGCGCTGTACAAATGTAACTTGTTGTTGTTGGGCAGGCGGGGGGAGCACGAGGGGAGCCGGAGGATGAAGACGGAGCTGCTGGTACAGATGGATGGTTTGGCCCGTTCAGACGATCTTGTCTTTGTTTTGGCAGCTTCAAACTTACCGTGGTGAGAGTCACGGCAGCTCGACATCTCACAGGCCAGCACTCCACCCCAACCCCATCCCCCAGCACCCCAACTCCACCCTCTAGCCCCCCAACCCCACCCCCCAGGCCCCAACTCCACCCCCAGCCCCCCAACCTCACCCCCAGCCCCCCAACCTCACCCCCCAGCCCCACACCCCACCCCCACCCCCCAACCCCCCCAGCCCCCCAACCTCACCCCCAGCCCCAATCTCACCCCAGCCCCACAACCCCACCCACCACCCCAACCCCCCAGCCCCCCAACCTCACCCCAGCCCCAACTCCACCCCCAGCCCCCCACACACACCCACCAAGACTGCCTCCTTTATTCAATATCAGTCGGGACCATAACATTTAACGTGACTTACGCCAAGTCCGAGTTGCAGACAAACTGTAGAAGTCATATAAAATTCGACGTGATCAATAATCTACACTGCCCATACGTAACTTAAGTGCCCACGTGGTGACGGGTCAGGGTGTCCTTGTCTGCAATTCAAGGTAATTAAGGGCTCAGTGAGAGGTCAGGGTGATGGAGACGGGCTCAGTGACAGCAGTGACTGATCCCTAGCACTGTTCACAGGGAGCTGGACCACGCTATGCTGCGGCGGCTGGAGAAGAGGATCCTGGTTGATTTGCCCACCACAGAGGCCCGGCAGGTGATGATCCAGCACTGGCTGCCGCCTGTCAGCAACAGCGGGGGTGTGGAGCTGCGCACACAGCTAGACTACAGCCTGCTGGGAGACGTGAGTACAGCGCTGGGCGATAGATAACACACAGTCCCGTAGTGTAGAGGTTACGGCACTCGCCTTGCATTTGATATAATAATAATAATCCTTGCATTTGATATAGCGCTTTTCACGTTGTGAGGACGTCCCAAAGCGCTTCACAGAACACACTGTATATTTGTGGGCGAACGCGGCAGCCAATTGCGCACAGCAATGTCCCACAAACAGTCGTAGATTGAAAATGACCAATTTATTATTGTTTTTGGTTTTGGAGGGATTATTATTAGGCTCTGTGTGGAGTAAGGAAACTTGCCCAAGGTTTCGCCCTCTGCCTGGAATTGAACTCAGGTCTCTCGCTTGCAAAGCGAGTGCTCTAACCACTGAGCTACAGGACTCCAACCGGCACAACAGGCAGGGGGAGAGTTTGTGGGCGAGAGAGAAAGAAGACGGGAGGGAGTAATTGTGGGAAGGGGAAGTTTGGGAGAGAGAGGGAGAGAGTATGGGCAGGAGTGCATGAGACATGGGAAAGGGATGGATTGTGCTTGTGAGGGGAAGGAGAGAGGCAGTATGTGAGGGGGAGGCTGCATACGACAACAACAAGAATGTGCATTTATATATATTTATGAACTGCGGAAAAACAGGTTTCCAAATTAAGAGAGTAATTTGGGATTTTCCAATAATTCTGCTGTGCTCTATTTTTGATCACAAATGGTGCCCAGGCTGAGACTGGGGGGAATTCGGTGGTCCAGTGATGTGAGCCTGTGCCTCTGTCTCTCTCTGTATTTCCTCAACACAGAAAACTGAAGGTTATTCCGGCTCCGACATCAAACTCGTGTGTAAAGAGGCAGCGATGCGTCCTGTCAGGAAAATCTTCGATGCCCTGGAAAATCCCCAAACAGGTAGCCAGCAAAACAACAACACATTACATTTCCACAGTGACTTTTGGGACAGGAGGATGTCCCAAGGCGTTGGACAGCGAAGGATTTGCAACTGAGCTGGGGGTTGGGATGAGGAGGGGTGGAGGGCAGGGAGGGCGGAGGAGGGAAGAGGACCGAAGATGCAGTGGAAGTGGAGGGGTTTTGAGACGGGCCTCGAAGGAGGTGAGGGAGAGAGCGAGGTGAAGGGGCTCCAGGGTGAAGTTCCAGAGGGTGGAGCCAGAAAAGCTGAAAGCCTGACCTCCGATGGTGGGGTGGGCAGGGCGGGGGGACGTGAAGCAGATAGTTGGTGGAGCGGACAGGTTGTTAAGGATTAGTAGGTCACAGAGGTAGGGAGGAGCAAGGCCAATGAACGACGGCTTTATCTGGAGGGTCAGTGGCCACGACACTGGGGGAAATACTCCCTTCTCTTCCCCAATAGCCCTGAGGATCTTTAACATCCGCCTAAACAGGGGTGGAAGGAGTTATAATGCCTTCAGGAGAGAAGTTTTTTCTTTTTAAAAACCATTTGCTTCTGCGTAAAATGACAAGTGTTTGTTTCCAGAGAAGAACCCGCTGCCCAACATCAAACTGGAAACTGTGACCACAGAGGATATACTGGAAGTCATCGCTCACACCAAACCATCAGCCAAGAAACTCAGCCAGAAATACACAGCCTGGCAGAGTGACTACGAGTCTGTGTGATAGGAGCAGATTCCCCGAGGGCTGGGCCCTGGGTGACAAACCTCCCTTCCTNCCCCCCCCCCGTCAGAGCCTGGTCACCGACCGGCCCAGGAACATTCAACCAAAACACCAGAGGGGAAGATCTTTGGGGAGACTTCTGTCTGAGAACGTTTAGTGAAGAACGTGAGTTTGACACAGCGACTATTCAGGTGTTGCTGCCAAGTGACTGACTGTGTTTGTAGGCAACCAAGCAAAGAGCCACACACAGCCAGGAATCAATGGCAGTTTCATGTGGAGCTTTGACTGAGCGGACAGGTGGCACTTTAGGTTTGATGTCTCCTCCTCGGGACGGCACCTCACACTACGCGCAACTCCCCATCACCATCCTGGAGTTTCAGGCTGGCATTTGGAGTTCAGATCACAACAAGGGCCTCGACTCCACAACCTTCAGAGCCAGGGGCAAGCGGCTAGCGAATGATCCAGACTATCTCAGATAGGAGTGTGGCCACACACACACACACACACACTATCCCATGCAGGATATTTAATCTTTCCTCGATGGATTTCATAATCTACACTTCTCAACAAAGGTGTCAGTGTGTGTTTGGGGGTGACGGTGGGACAATTAGAGACGAGTTGTTTTAATCGCCAAGAAGTATAGATGAGAAGTCACACATGCCAGGTGGCACCAGAACTGAGCAGCGAGTCAAAGGGCAGCACAGGAGGAGGGGGGGACTCACTGTTACGGAACAGAAACAGGTATTTCAGCGCATGAAGTCTGCACTGAGTTATCTCCCAGAGTCATCTAGTCTATTCCCACTCTTGCTGTCTATACATACTCCCACGCCCTGTATTATCCATCCTTTTCAAGAATCTTTGCCCTTGATACTGCATCTAGAACAATGAAACGTTTGACAGGGAATTACTATAAATCAGCATTTCAGTTTAATCATAATCTGACAACAAAGTGCTCACTGGAGCGTCAGTGAGGCTTGAGCCTGCAGGGAGTGCAGGGAGTGCTGTAGTGGTTGTGTTACACAAATAGTTCAGTGGTTTGGGTGGGTAAATTCTTTCATTTTTGCACTGGTCTACAGTAGTGAGTTTGACTAAGGTTTTTAAATCCTGGGACACTGAAAATCCTTTGAGAGTTTGCGCAGGAAATGTGCACATTTGTGATGTACATCAGTATTACACACCCAGGAAATAAAATATTACTTTTGGTAACGTTATGAATGACCATCTACAAGAATTTACCATCCTAATAATAATAATCCTTGCATTTGATATAGATAGCACCTTATCACATCATAGAAACAACTCAAGCTCTTCACAGAATATATTGCAAAGTGGATTGTCTGTATTTTTATGGGTGAAACGCTCAAGACAATAGCGCACAGCAGTGTCCCACAAACATTTGTGGATTCAGTGACCCTCCCAATTTTTTTTGGAGGGATTATTACCCCCAGAAAGCGATCCGCCAATCGACTAACAACTTTAGTTGGTAAGATGCCAAAATTAACCCAAACCACATCAATGAGGTCCCCAAACCTTGGCTCCCACCAACCCTGTGAGGGGGAAGTGAAAGATTGTCAGTGGAAATTTGTGCTAAGTATTTTCGTCTTTCTCCCCGTTAAAAAAAAGAAACCAGACAAAAAAATTCTCATTTTTTTTAAATGAATAAGATTTATTACAATCATATTCATAATTGAATAATAAAATGATTCCTGCATTTGGCAAAACACCGACACGAGGTTAGGAGTTGTAATCTAGGTTGTGTGGGAGAGGGAAGGATGGAGTGAGACCCTGTTCTGTGTGGGGGTGTGGGAGAGTGGGCTTGGGGGGGGGGGGGGGCAGAGGTACCAAGGTGCTGGTGCAAATGACGCATTGCAGCGGAGGTTATAAATATGCATTTATATAGCGGCCTTCACACAGGGGAGAAAGGGCCCTTTATATAGCTCTCAGGGCACTTTCTTGGAACAAGACTTGTTGGGAGGGCAAAGGGGGCGGTTACATGCTAGGGAGGGGGTGGGAAGCACAGTTTGGTTTGTCCGAGTGATCTCTAACCACCTCCACCCCCCACTCCAGGTTGGGCTCAGGACATGCTTAGTTCTCCGGGGTTGGGGTGTGGGGAGAGAGATTGCTCACACCAAGTGCTGTAGGATGTGGTCCACAGCTTGAGGAAAGGAATCACATGTCAGGTAAGGCCCAGGACTGATCTTCTCTTCATCACCAGCTCGGTATTTACCTTTATACTCGCGAGAGAGAGAGGGAGAGAGAGTTAGTGAGTGTGAGAGAGTGTAAAATTAGTCCACACATCATAATCCATGAGTTTGACACAGCAGCTATAAGGTTGTTGGTATCGGACACTGGGAAACCCTTTGAATAGTGCTACAGGATCTTTATAGTCCATATGAAACAGGTCTTATCCCAAACACAGCACCTCCGCCAACACAGCATACGCTCAGTACAGCATTGGGAGTGTCAGCTCACACTGACCTCAAAGCTGTGGGACTTGAACCACAACCTTCTGAGTCAAACAAACAAACCAAATTACATTTGTAAAGCGCCTTTCACGTTGGGAGGAAGTCCCAAGACGCTGGGGGTCGGGATCGGGGAGGCTGGAGGGCAGTGGGGGGAAGCAGGGAGATCGAAGGCACAGTTGAAGAAGAAGGTCTTGAGACGGGTCTTGAAGGAGGTAAGGGAGGGGACGAGGCAGAGGGCCTGCGGGTGGGAGTTCCAGAGGGTGGGGTAGAGTGGCAGAAGGTCTGCCCGCCAATAGTGGGGGGAGCCAGGCGGGGGACGTGAAGCAGGCCAGAGCCCACTGAGCGGAGGGAGCGAGCAGGTTGATGGGGGTTAGGAGGTGGCAGAGGTAGGGGGGAAGCAAGACCGTGGAGGGCTTTGAAAGTGAGGACCAGGATCTTGAACTGTATCCTCTGGGTGATGGAAAGCCCAGTGGAGAGGAGTCAGTGGTGAGTGAGGGAGTGAATGGGCCAGAGTGACGTTGACACTGACACGGATTGTAAGGCCACCTACCTGTCTTTACTAAAATACCCAACATCCCAGCGTTCTGGGCTCCCCCAACATCATCCCTGGCGTCCTGTGAAAAGAGAGAGAGAAAGTTTCAGGTCTCACCTTTTCAGGGGAGTGAGAGAGGAAAAAAAGAGGGAGAGAGAGAGAGACAGAAAGAAAAAGAGATGAGGAGATGGGAAAAGAAAGTGGGGGGGGGAGACAGTGTTTGTGTGTGGGGGAGAGAGAGGAAAAAAAGAGGGAGAGAGAGAGAGACAGAAAGAAAAAGAGATGAGGAGATGGGAAAAGAAAGTGGGGGGGAGACAGTGTTTGCGTGTGGGGGAGAGAGAGGAAAAAAGATTAGGGGAGAGAGCGATGGGAAAAGAGAGAGAGAACGATGGGAAACGAGAAGGGGAGAGAGGGGAGAGAGGGAGATGGAGAGAGTGAGTGAGTGGGTGATTGCCGTACGTCACCGATCATGATGGCCTGGTGAGGTTGGCAGCCGGTGCTGGGCAGTGCCTTCTGGAAGAAGGAAGCCTGGGGTTTGCCCACAACTGTAGCCTGGACATCAGCAGCGTATTCCAGCCCCGTGACAAAGGGCCCCGGGCCCAGACTCAGCCCCCCTGATGTCTGGTAATAACGGGCCTTGTGGATAGCGATGAGGGGAGCTCCGTCCAGGATCAACCTGGAGGGAAGAGAGAGAGAGAGAGAGAGAAAGCTTACATTGTTAGGTGTCTCCCCCCTGGAATCTCTCCCCGTTCCCCCCCCCACCTCCAACCCCCACCCTCTGGGACCCCACAGAGCCTCCACCTCACCCCCTCCCTCGCCCCCGTCTCA